CGACAAGAAAAAAAACAGAAAATCTCCAGAAACAACAAAATAATAAAATGGCACTAAACTCCTATCTATCCATAATGACTCTGAATGTAAATGGACTAAACTGCCCAATTAAAAGACAAAGGGCATCAGAATGAATAAAAAAATAAGACCCATCTAAATGCTGCCTACAGGAGACTCATTTTAGACCTAAAGGCACCTGCAGATTGAAAGTGAGGGGATGGAGAACCATCTTTCATGCAAATGGACGTCAAAAGAAAGCTGGAGTAGTAATACTTTACACCAAACAAACTAGATTTTTATTTATTTTATTTAAAAAAAAGATTTTATTTATTTATTTGCCAGAGAGAGAGAGCAGAGGGGGAGGGAGAGGAAGGCAGAGGGAGAAGCAGGTTTCCTGCTGAGCAAGAACCTTGATGCAGGGTTCAATCCCAGGACCCCAGGATCACGACCTGAGCAGAAGGCAGATGCTTAACCAATTGAACCATGCAGGTGCCCCCAGAAAAATTAGATTTTAAACCAAAAACTGTAACAAGAGATGAAGAAGAGTACTATATTATAATAAAAGGGTCTGTCCAACAAGAAGATCTAACAATTGTAAATATTTATGCTCCCAAGTTAGGAGCACCCAAATATATAAAACTATTAATAATAAACGTGAAGGAACTCATTGATATAATATAATAGTAGGATACTTTAATACCCCACTTACATCAATGGATAGATCATCTAAGCAGAAAATCAACAAGGAAACAATGGCTCAGAATGACTCACTGGACCAGATGGACTTAAAAGATAAATTCAGAACATTTCATCCTAAAGCAGCAGAATACACATTCTTTTCAAATCTGCATGGGATATTCTCTAGAACAAATTACATTCTAGGTAACAAATCAGGCCTCAACAATTACAAAAAGATTGAGATCATACCATGCATACTTTCTGACTACAGTGCTATGAAACTTGAAGTCAACCACAAGAAAAAAAATTGGAAAGACCACATATACACGGAGGTTAAAGACCATCCTAGTAAAGAATGAATGGATCAACCAGGAAGTTAAAGAAGAAATTAAAAAAATACATGGAATAAAATGAAAATGAAAACACAAAACTTTTGGAATGCGGTAAAAGCAATCACAAGAAGGAAGTATATAGCAAAACAGGTCCACCTCAAGAAGTATGAAAAATCTCAAATATGCAACCTAACCTTACATCTAAAGGAGCTAGAAAAAGAACAACAAATAAAGCCTAAAGCCAGCAGAAGAAGGCAAATAATAAATATTAGAGCAGAAATAAATGATATAGAAATAAATCCAGAAGAGATGAATGAAATCAGAAGCTGGTTCTTTGAAAGAATTAATAAAACTAGCCAGCTTTATCAAAAAGGAAAGAGAAAGGACTAAACAATAAAATAATGAATGAAAAAGGAGAGATCACAACCAACAGCATATAAAGACAAACAATTAAAAGAGAATACTATGAAAAATTATATGCCAACAAAGTGGGCAATCTGGAAGAAATGGATAAATTCCTAGAAACACATAAACTACCAAAATTGGAACAAGAAGACATAGAAAACTTGAACAGATTCATTACCAGCAAAGTAATTGAATCAGTAATAAAAAATCACCCAACAAGTAAAAATCCAAGGCCAGATGGCTTCTCAGAGGAATTCTACCAAATATTTAAAGAAGAGTTAATATCTCTTCTTCTCAAATTATTCCAAAAAATAGAAATGGAAGGAAAAATTCCAAACTCATTCTATGAGGCCAGCATCACCTTGATTCCAAAACCAGAGAGACTCCACTAAAAAAAGAGAATTATAGGTCAATATCCCTGATGAACATGGATGCAAAAATTCTCAGCAAAATACTAGCAAATTGAATCTAATAGTACATTAAAAGAATTATTCACCACCGTCAAGTGAGATTTATTTCTGGGCTCCAAGGTGGCTCAATATTTGTAAATCTATCAACTTATACACCACATTAATAAAAGAAAGGATATGAACCATATGATCTCAATAGATGTAGAAAAAAAATTTGACAAAGTACAGCATCCATTCTTGGCATAAACCCTCAACAAAGTAGGGATAAAGGGAACGGAACTCAACATCATAAAGGTCATATATGAAAAACCCACAGCTAATATCATCCTAAATGGGGAAAAGCTGAGAACTGTTCCTCCACAGTCAGGAACAAGACAGAGATGTCCATCTCACCACTGTTACTTAACACAGTACTAGAACTCTTAGCCTCAGCTCTCAGACAACAGAAAGAAATAAAAGGCATCTAAATCAACAAGGAAGAAGTAAACTGTTAGTATTTGCAGATGACATGATACACTATGTGGATAACCTGAAAGGCTCCATCAAAAAAATTGCTCGAACCGCTATACAAATCCAGTAAAGTTGCAGGATATAAAATCAACATACAAAAATCTGTTGCATTTCTACACACCAATAATGAAATAGCAGAAAGAGAAATCCGATCCCATTTACAACTGCACTAAAATGCATAAGATACCTAGGAATAAACCTAACCAAAGAGCTAAAAGAGCTGTACTCTGAAAACTATAGAACGCTTATGAAAGAAATTAAAGTTGACATATAGAAATGAAAAGACAGTCCGTGCTCATGGATTAGAAGAACAAATATTATTAAAATGTCTATACTACTCAAGCAATCTACACATTTAATGTGATGCCTATCAAAACGCCACCAGCATTTTTCACAGAGCTGGAATCCTAAAATTTTAATGGAACCACCAAAGACCCCAAATAGCCAAAGCAATCTTGAAAAAGAAAAGCAAAGCTGAGGTCATCGCAATCCCTGAACTTCTAGGTATATCACAAAGCTGTAGCGATCAAGACAGTATTGTACTGGCACAAAAACAGAAAGATAGATCAATGGAACAGGAACAGAAAACCCAGAAATGGACCCATAACTATATGGTCAACTAATCTTTGACAAAGCAAGAAAGAATACCAAAGGAAAAAAGGGCAGTCCCTTCAACAAATGGTGTTGGGGAAAGAGGACAGCAACATTCAGAAGAATCAAACTGGACCATTTTCTTACAAGACACACAAAAATAAATTCAAAATGGATGAATGAATAAATGTGAGATGGAAACCATCGCAATCCTAGAGGAGAATACAGACAGCAACCTCTTTGACATCGGCTATAGTAGTTTCTTATTAGGTCTTTGGAAGCAAGGGAAACAAAAGGAAAAATGAACTACTGGGACTTCATCAAGATAAATCTTCTGCACAGTGAAGGAAACAATTAACAAAACTAAAAGATAACCTTTAAGATGGGAGAAGATATTTGCAAATGACATATCTTATAAAGGGTTAATATCCAAAATCTATAAATAACTTAATAAAGTCAACACCCCAAAAAACAAATAATACAGTCAAGAAATGATTAGAGACAGGAATAGACATTTTTCCAAAGAAGGCATCCAGATGGCTAACAAACACATTAAAGAGATGCTCACCATCATCATTCATCAGGGAAATACAAAACTAAAATGAGATTCACCTCACACCTGTTAGAATGGCTAAAATTAACAACTCAGGAAACAACAGATGTTTCCTGCGAGGATGTAGGGAAAGGGGAACCCTCTTACCGTATTGGTGGGAATGAAGGCTGGTGCAGCCAATGCCTAGAACTTCTTCAAAAAGTTCAAATAGCAGTACCCTAATCCAGCAATTGCACTGCTAGGTATTTATCCAAAGGATACAAAAATACTGATTCGAAGGGATACATGCACCCCAATGTTTACAGCAGCATTATCAACAATAGCCAGATTATAGAAAGATCCCAAATGTCCATCGACTGATGAATGGATAAAGAAGATGTGGTGTATTGGGGCGCCTGGGTGGCTCAGTGGGTTAAAGCCTCTGCCTTTGGCTCAGGTCATGATCCCAGGGTCCTGGGGTGGAGCCCTGCATGGGGCTCTCTGCTCAGCAAGGAGCCTGCTTCCTCCCTGCCTACCTCTCTGCCTACTTGTGATCTGTCAAATAAATAAAATCTTAAAAGAAAAGAAGATGTGGTGTATATATACAATGGAATATTCCTCAGCCATACAAAAGAATAAACTCTTATCAACTGCGGTGACATGGATTGAGCTAGAGTGTATTACGCTAAGGGAAATAAGTCAGTCAGAGACATGAGTGAAATCATATGTGGAATTTAAGAAACAAAACAGACAAATGTAGGGGCAGAAAAAGAGGGAAGCAAATAATAAAAACAAATAATAAAACAGATCCTTAACTAGAGGGCTGGGGATGGCGGGGGGGGGGGGGAGGTGGCCGGTTCAATGAGTCCTGGGCATTCGGGAGGGCACTTGAGATGATTACTGGTCTTTGTGCACAAATGTCGAGTTACTTAATTCTCCTCCTGAAACTAGTATTACTGGAATATAAATAAAAACTTGAATAAACAGTATAAAGCCTTGGTGGTCTCCGCAAGGGCTTTGGCTTTGGTTAGGAGAGGTGGGGAGCCCCCGGAAGGCTTCGACAGGAGGCGTTTACAGTTCAGCCAGGTCCAGCTGGTTGCTGTGCTGACCAAGTAGCCAACAGTGGAGGCAAAGGCGGGAACAAGAGAGCATTTAGGAGACTTATTTCAACACTTCAGGCAGCGTTGAATGGGGCTCTCCAACCAGTTTGGTAGAAGCAGGAGAGGCGGCTGGGTTTTGTTTGTATTTGCAAGCCGTAAGATGGACAGACTGTGAGTGTGGAAAAATCAGAGATGACCTCACACTAATGGACCTGCGCAACTGCTGGAACGAAGCTGCTGGGATGGGGAAGGGTCCAGGTTGAGCGAGCCGAGGGTGAGGCAGCGACCGCAGTTTGCTCAGGAGCCCCCCGGCTGCTGGTGAGTACCTTCCGCCCGGTTCCCCAGGGAAATAACAGGAAAACTCCCGCTCCCAGAGTGCCCCGCGCGCCAGCCCGCGAGCCAGGGGGCGGGGCCTGCGCGCGCGTGCGCCGAGGCGGAACGGGCTGGCGGGTGCGGCGAGGCGGCCCCTTCGAGCGCGGTAGTCTGTTCAGTGAGGAGAGCGAGGACGCTTACGCGCTCTCGGCCACCTTCCCTTCCCGGGTAAGAGCGGCAGCGGTGGTGGGTGCCGCCGCCAGGTGGGGGCGGCATCCAGGGGAGGGTGCTCGCGCGCCTGGGGGCCCCATCTGACACATTTCGAGCTCGCGGCCGTCGCCCCTCGGGGGGTATTGGTCGCCTCCGTGAGGCGGTCGGTGTAAGCTCGGTGCCCGCGGGCCCGGCCGCCGGGATTTCGCCCGCCTGGCGGGAGGGGAGGCGGGAGTGAGGGGCCGCGGCGGGCGGGGAGAGGCGAGCTGCGGGGAGCCGTGAGGGGTCGCGCGGAGCCCTGGGGACGGCCACCCAGCCCCGCGCACGCGCGCCAGTTGAGCGAACGTTGGGAGCCTCCGGTGCCTTGGAATCGCGAACTCTGGGGGACTCCGCTCCGAATTGCTGCCCTGCGACCGCTCGCTGTCTGTCGCGGACCCGGCCGGGTTCTCAGCCCCCGGAAGACTTGAACTCTTAGCGCTTTTCTTTGCCCACGACTTGCAGCGTGCGGCAGTGGGTCCGACCGGTGGTGCCCACGCCGGTTTCTGGTGGAGGTTACGGTGGTTGTGGCGTGTCGGTCCTGCAGCGTGAGCTGCGATCGCTCAGCGCACGGTGGGCTCGAGGAGTCGTCGTGCGGGTCCCTCTTGAAGGCTCGCGATGTGGGGACACTGCCAAAGGAAGGGACTACCGACCCCTCGGCGCGGTGTCTCCGCGGCTCCCGGTTTGCAGAGCCAGACTCTGGGCCGAGACGGGGGATGCGGTGCGGCCCTGCTGTGAGTAATAGTGAGCACCGGAACACGTGCGCCAGCCACGAAGAACAGACTGTTCCTCGGGAAATCTGGGAGTAGAGTTTTTTCTGGAAGCACCCCCCCTCCGGTACACACCCCCCTCACGCAAACCCAGGTTTCTGAGGAGTAGTGGAGCATTCTGGGCTAACAGAGTGGGCTGAATACGTGTATCTGATATTACTCCCTGCGGAAGTGTCACCCAACTTACAGTAAAGAGGATTTTTAAGAGAGTGAATCCAGGTGATGGAGAGAACGGGAAAGGAAACAGCAGCAGTAAAATATTGGGGCCTGGAAAGCAAATGTTCTTCGCAAAGCTTAGCTTAATTCTAAACCTGCAGCGAGTACTGTTGAACAAGTGCCTGCGAACCACACAGACGCTGGCAGCACCGGTCACCTTGGGAACTGGCAATGAAGGGAATGGTGTTGGGGGTGGAGCTGGAGGGCTTAAGTAAAGCTAACTTAGGTGAAATTGTTCCACAGGCACTTAGGTATCTACATCTCCTTCCCCATTTCACATTTTTGGGTGACCGCCTTTCTCCCATTAGAAGGCAGGAGGCTGTTCTCTTGAGAACATAAAACAGGATCTTTGAACCACGGGACCCCAGGCACACTTAATTATGGGGCTACATTTATGAAAGCAGGGACACTGAAGGCTGAGGTACTTTATCCTCCTTCTCCCACTCAAATCTCAGAATTGTTGTAGCTAGATTAATCCCTCTCATGTTCAAATAAGAATGTTTCTGCACACACATACACATATATGGAAGGACGATAAGTTGGTCACAGTGGTTGCTTCTGGGAAGGGAAAGGAACTAGGCGTTTGAGGGAGAAGGATGTGAGGAGACTTACTATTTACATTTTTGTTCTTTTAAAATTTTGTACCATATGCAAATATATTGCCTATTCAAAAATTAAATGTATTCCTTAAAAACTAGAATTTCAAATGAATACATCATTTGATACAGCAATTCCTCTCCCATGAATTTATTATATGGGTTTGTCTACACATAAGAAAATAATGTAAGTACATGCCATTCATTGCAATATTTTAGCAAAATATTGGAAATAATCTCAGTGTTCATTAATAGATAATGGTTGGTGAAATAAATTATGTAAGACCCTTCCTTGGAATATTTTGCAGCCGTAAAATACAATGAAAGAAACTCATTGTATAAAAAAAAAAGTAAGCACAAAATGTATTTTAAGTGGTAGGGGATTCAGAAAAACATGACTGTATTTTTTAAAAAGGAGGGGTATGTGTGTATATATGTATAAAATATCTGGAAGTACATGTAAGAAGCAGGTAATACTAGCTGACTTTGGAGAAGGGATCTGGGTAATGAGTCAAAAATGGAGTGAGGGAGGCTTTTCACTGTATATTTTTGGCATCTTTGAACTTTGAACCCTCTTACTGTTACCCAGTGAATGAATAAGTAAATGTTAACAGGTAAAAATAGATGAATAATGGAGATCTTGAGGTTGGTAAGATCCTGAACAATAAAAGATTTCTCAAAACAGGAAGGCATGCTGCATAACAATCCCAAGATCTCAGTGGCTTACATTTCATGCTCTTGGTTCTTCAGTGGCTCAGATCTTGGCTGGATTAGGCTGGACTCCAGACTTTAGTTTTGGGTTCGTATCTGCAGCATGTATCTTCGACCTGGCACCCAGGCTGAAAAAGCAGAAATACCTGGAACATGCTTTTCTGATGGCTGAGGGTGGGACTTCAAGGGAGGCTTCTTCAAATTTGCCATGTTTTCTGCTCAGAAGTGACACATCGAAACTTTTACATATATTCCATTATTTAAAGCAATGTCACAGAGTCAAGTCCCAAATCAATAGGGTAGAAATGTATGTACACTCTGTCTACTGGGAGGCTCTGCAAAGGCACCTAACAGAGAATGTGGATGTATACTTCTGTTGTGGGGTGAGAGGAGTTGGAGAGATAATGTTGGAAAGATAATGATGAAAGAAATGGGTTAATAGAAAGATACTGTGAAATTAAGTTGAAGATAGTTGGTTGAGAATAAAGATGCTTAGGAAAAAACATATGCATAATATATGCCAAGATACAGCATTTTACTCCGATATGAATTTTCTTAAGGTTTCCATGTCAAGGTATCATATTGGCTTTTCTTATGTAACATCTGCCATCCCCACACCTGACCCTGTAACCCAATTCTGAGTACCTGTGGTTTTAGGAAGCTTGAAAATTATTAATGAAATAATGCACCTGTAAAGGCACCAGTTCTTAGAGAAGTAGTTCTAAATGTGTGTATTTCAGCTACTGAATGTGTTCATTCATAGTTCTGTATGTCATATCCATGTCTGCCAACCCACCTTTCACAACAGAATCTTCTTTTCAGGGAGATGTCCTTTGCTTCTCAGATGTAATGCACTTTAAGTTTGTTATTCAACAGTGAAAATGAGTCATACAGAGGTAATACATATTTTCGTATGTTCTACATCTTCAGGGTTCCTTTTTTTTTTTTTTTTTTTAAGTCATGTGGCTCCAGAGTAATTTTCTTATTTTCAGCTTGTACAGTGAGAGACAGTATAGCATTAGTGGTTAAAAGGAAGGACTGCCCAAGTTTGAATCCTAGCTAGTGGCTGTATAACTTTGGGCACAAAGTTACTTAACCTGCTGTGGCTCTGTTTTCTCATCTGTAAAAAGGAGGTGATGATAGTACTTCATAGAATTATTAGGAAGGTTAAGTAAATTAATACATATAAAGCATTATAATAGTACCTGACACACAATAAATAAATACTTAAATACTAGCTATTGTTAATATTGCTTTTTATTTAGTGGCCATGTGAGTCATGGTTCTCACAGAACAAACATAGTTATTTAGTTGTCTGAATAGGCAAGGAAGTAATTTTTGATCCCTTTATTCTCTTGAATTCCAGGTTAAATTAAAAATACCTTTTGGAAATAAATTACTAGATGCTGTTTGTTTGGTACCTAACAAGAGCTTAACATATGGAATAATTCTTACACATGGAGCGTCAGGAGATATGAACCTTCCTCATTTGATGTCACTGGCATCCCATCTTGCATCTCATGGTTTTTTTTGCCTGAGATTTACCTGTAAAGGCCTTAATATTGTACATAGAATTAAGGCATATAAATCAGTTTTGGTAAGAAAATTTCTTTATATTTACTTACAACAGAATTTTGTTTTTAATACATTTTAATACACTTAATACATTTAAGACAAATTCTATTGGCAGTCGTTTGATTTATTTAAAAAGCTTTTAATGAATATTCTTAGAAACTCAATAGTACATGACAGCTGTATAGTAGTCGGATTTTTCTTTTTTGCTCTCAGTTTCCATGGAGATGAGTGCTCCCATCATAAATGTTCTTTCATGGTACCACCAAGGAAATTATTTATGATGTAATTTTCTTAGTGGAATTATTTAACTTCAGAATACAGTTCTGGATATTTGCCTACTATACTATGAATGTATAAATATAGCATTTTGAAGCTGTAAAATCCCTGGATAACACAAATTTGAAATTTTTAAAATCCAGATTATTTCAAACTTGCTAAGTTTTTCAGGGCTTTAAGTTAGATTTTAGTACTATTGTGTATTAGTTGGAAGATTTTACTGGCTTTATTTTTAATGTAATTCTTTAAAAATAATTTAATACTTTTTCTGAGACAGGCAAAGTGATTTTTTTTTTCTCATTTATTTGCCGGTATTTACCCAGCTATGATTTGATAGTGACAGCATGATCAGAAGAGCAAAGAACTGGTTACCTCTTTCAAGAAGAATCCCTTGAGATTTTTATGGTTGTCTTTGCAAACAGTTTTATACATTTCACTAATGATGAGAAATATATGTTGGTTTTTCCAGTGGAGTATTTCATAGGAGAAGAACTGATAATTTTTTGGTTGGTTTTTCTAGAATTACCTAAAGACCTCAGGAGAATACAAACTGGCAGGTGTTTTCCTTGGTGGTAAGTTGCAATACTTGCTTTTAAATCTACTTATATTAATATAGGAACAGGTGATCAATAATTAAAATTAATTGGTGATAGGAAGCTAATTTAAGGATTTTTTTGTTTTGCTAATTCACTTTCTTTTATAACATCAAGGCACTTTATATACTTAAAGCAAATTTAAGCCTCATACATACGTTTTGGAACCCAAAGATTGTTCCTTTTATTTATATCCCTGAGTCACTGTCTCTCAAATGATTCTTTGGTCCTTACCTCAAGTATTCTTCAGAAAAAAAACTGCCCCCCACTCTTTTTTTTTGACTTGGGATCAATTTTTAGCATTTCATGAAGTTATAGATGTCCATTGTGGATATTAAAACTTGTTAATTGCCACCTTTTGGAGTTAAGTGATAGAGATATGATGGATGAACAGTAAAGGAAATCTTACTTGCCATATTAACACCACTTCTGTATATGAATATTTGTATTTCAAACTGAACTTAATTTTAATTGATTTTTAGGTCGTTCAATGGGCTCAAGAGCAGCTGCTTCTGTAATATGCCATATTGAGCCAGATGATGCTGATGATTTTGTTCGAGGTCTCATTTGTATTTCTTACCCACTGCACCATCCAAAGCAGCAACATAAACTTAGAGATGAAGATCTCTATCGTATAAAAGATCCTGTATTGTTTGTGTCAGGCTCAGCGGATGAAATGTGTGAAAAGGTGAATTATAACTTGATGTTTGCATAAATGAGAGAGTGAATGAAAGACAGTGTCTTGGGAACAAGATATTATCTGCAATTTTCAATCTCTTTAAAAGGTGCTGATTGGACAAAATGCTAGTTTTGTGACTTAGTTACCTGTTACTTCAGAGAACTGAAAAATATAAGCATACTGACAGAATTCATCTCCCTGGAAATAGTTGCTAAATGGATTGACTCTTATTTGGGAATAAAAAGATTAATATCTGAATCTTGTGATTTGGGGATTTATACTAGGCTGTACATTTGGTTTATCATTTCAACATTTAAGCGGATTCTTCAGTTGGTTATAAAATTGACTCGAGACAGAGTAACTTAAACATGTTACTATAGATGGTCTAATGGATGCTTGATCTGTTCTATGATATTGCTGTATTTGAGAGATGTGGACTGCCACTTCGGTGGACATTTCTTTGCATAGTCCATTGCCTTGAAAGTTGTCTGTAGAGTAGATATTAATGAATATTTAGTGAATGGATGCCAGTAGAGGTGGTACAGGGAGAGAGAGGATCTTTATTAAACCGTGAAAGAGCATTAGTCTAGCATCCTCTTCTTTTTTTCCTTTAGAACTTGTTGGAGAAAGTGGCACAGAAAATGCAAGCTCCCAATAAAATCCACTGGATTGAGAAGGCAAATCATTCCATGGCAGTGAAAGGACGATCAACAAATGATGTTTTCAAAGAAATAAACACACAGATTTTGTTTTGGATCCAGGAAATCACTGAAGTGGACAAGAGATAATTGTATCTAGCTACAAACTACATTATTTTTAATACAAATACAGTTCATTTGATAAAGAACAGCATACCTCTCAGCATTATGAGATATTTCAGATGAAGTTAATGTTCTTTAATGTTTCCCCCATTTTTAAAACACATTTTAATTGTGAAATTAATGTCCTTTATAAAATGTCTTTTGAAAGCACTGTTATAGTTGTATAAAGATGATGTACAAATATTGAAGTGGCCTAAATATAATTTATTTTCATTAATATAGTTAAGTTTTGAAAAAAAAATTAAACATTTGAATTTTGTTACAGTGGAACTTTTGTCTTATTTGCTATGCAACTGAGAAAGTACTCTAATTTTGCAGAGTAGTGTCTTTAAAAAAGGAAAACAACGGTTTATTATGGTAAATTTAGTTGTTTTATAGAATGTATGCATTCATTCACCTTTTAATCTCAAGGGATAGGAAGGAAGATACATTTTCAAATTTGGGGACTCTGAACATTGTTTTTGGAATGAATTTTGGAACTTCATTCAAGAAATGTTTCTTGAAGGCCTGTTACAGGCAGAGCCTGATTAGGTTTGTGAAGATAAGTAATACTTAACATGGAGGAACTTGATATCTCTCTCTGATTAAGGGGAGAATGAAATAAGGCCTAAATAGTGGGATTAACATCTGTGCTGTATCTAGGTGGAGTTAGGGTACCTAATTTTGGCCTGGAAAGTTCAGTTAATACTTGGACTGGACTTTGGTGGTGTTGAGTTACATATTAAAAGCATAGTGTCTGTATTTCCTACAAAGGACACAGAATGTGATGGGGCTGATATATATGTTTGTAGGAAAGGGTAGTTTTCTATAGTAAGATACTAACTCTTTTTCCTGGCTTCTCTACTGCTCTATTATTAGGCCCTACAGAGAACCTCAGGATGGCCCAAGCCATGCAGATTTTTGAGGTCCCTCATTCTTCCTTCTCTGATAGAGCCAATGGATTTTAATTATTTGTTAATTTTTTCTAAGTAGTGCATAAAGAACAGAAGCCTAGATAACAATGTCTAAATTGTTTTATATTATAGAATGAAACTATGAAATCAAATTTTCTGTATCACTCAGTGTATAATAGTTACTTTTTAACTAAATTTCTCAAATGAAGCCTAACATTTTAAAAATAGTATATATTTAATCATTGATGAGCATTCAGAACTTTAAAACAGTACTGTTGTCAAAATATAAACATGTTAAAAACATCCAGAGCTGACAAATAGAATAATGTTGTATAAACTAGTATAAATCAATTGGGAAATATTAATACCGTAAATCAGAAGTAAAACTAATGGGAAAGTAGAAAGGAAAACTTACTATAGAGCAGACCATAATCCAGAAGTACAGTGAAAAAATAGATTTAAAAGATTATTAACCAGGTTATATAATTATTATAGTCCAGTTTGCAAATTAAAGTATAGGCATGATATAGATTACCAAAGATACTAAATCAAATATGGAGATAATGTAGAGGGTCATTTAAAGTTGATTATTTTCCCTGAGGGGCCTGTAGGAAACTTCCTGATTGATGAAAGGGCTTGTCATTTGAGACCTGTGTACCTAGTCAGGGATGGGAAACATAGAACTCCTAGAGAGATATGAGTGAGCTGGGTAAGGCTGAAATAAACATTTGTGAAAAGGTCCCAGCTGCTTTTCACAGATTTCCACATCTTGCAGGGAAAATGTGCAGCCCCTTCAAGTTTGAGATTATGGTCAAAGAGCTGTCCTGGCACCTCTTCTGGTAGGCACCCCTGATTAATGGCACAACCATTACCTAGACCAATAGTTCCCAGCTAGTGATTTTGCCCCCTGAGGGACATTTGACAGTCTCTGGAAACTTGGTTGGCACAATGGGGTAGCAGTGCTACTAGCATCTGATAGGAGGAGGAAAGGCATGCTGCTAACAGTTACAATGCACAGGACCGCCAGACATGAAGTATCAGATCCAAAATGTCAGTAGTGTCCAGAATCTTATCCTAGACAAACTTTACCTGTGGGGATACCTTGAAATCCTTTCTCACTCACCAGTAGCTTTTCTACCCCCTTCCAAAACCATTTGCTTCCTTTTAGTTGTCAAACACTGTGTCTTCAGTCTCAAAGTCTGATTTTATCCCCTCTTCTGTTTACACTGTAATCACTCTAATGTAGGCCTTTATCGATTCTCATCTGCATAATTACAGTAACCTAACTGATCTTCCTCTTTTGTGGTGGTCTTGCTTCAACAAACCAGTTGATACCCTCAATCAAAAGCTGTTGATGGATCTCTAAAAGTGGCTATTAAGGCCAAAGTCTTGAGTTCAAGGCTGTCCACAATAGGCACTATCAACTTTTTAGCACATTTCCCCATGAACGTGTACAGCACAGTGACTCCAGTTAACCTGGACTACCCAAGGTTTTGGAACAAAGTGTTTCTGTCTCCTCTTCCTGAAACTTTCCTGTTAGTCTTTGTCACCAAATCTTCCTCATCCTTTTCCTCTTTACAGCTTTTTTTGAATTACCACAACCAAGTATCCCTTCTTGGAATACATATAATATCTTCCTTTCTTTGTTGTTAATCACACTCTGCCTTCTTAGTATATTATTGCCATATTTGTGCCATATCACGTGTTAAATACTCCATGTAAGGGAATGGTTTTTACTGATCTTTGTATCCACAGAGCACTTTTTAATTAGCTGTGTTGAACCAAGATATTCGGAGGGAGAATTTTTAACCATCATGAGCAATCCTTGCTTTTTTGTTGCTATTTTATGCACATATTATTGGGACTTTTTCCTGATACATAAAAAAAAAAAATGCCTAGTTCACAATGTCCAAGTAGTGTAAAGAATGTAGCACTCGTAGATATAATTGGTCTTTAAAAACTAAACAATCTTTTGGCGTATTCTCTTCCAGTGTCTATATTACTGTTAGTGATGGGGTTTCTCTGGTGTTCATTATTTTATTTTTATATATTTTTTAATTTTTTTCTTAGATTTCATCCATTTATTTGTCAGAGAGAGAGAAATAGCAGGCACAAGAAGGGAGAGCGACAGGCAGAGGGAGAAGCAGTCTCCTCGCTGAGTAAGGAACCTGATGCAGGACCCAGTCGCAGGACCCCAGGATCATGACTGAAAGCAGACACTTAACTGACTGAGCCATTCAGGCGTCCCTGTTTTATTTATTTTTTATTGTCTTCATAATTTTTAAGAATAAATGCAGCTTAGCACTTACTTTTGCACAGCTTACTTGAGATGGACACGAGAAGAGGTTTCTGGGATAAAAAACAGAGGTGTCTACGCTGAGAACTAGGTGATTGTACCTTTTTAGTAGACAAGTGCATAGGTAACAAACATAACAAAGCCCTAAAGGAGGTTATGCTTTTCTTCCCCATCGGCAGGAGTGGTACACAGAAGTTCCATTTCAGTTCTTACAGAGCTGGTCTGTGGTATACAAATCAGGAATTCAGTGCCATAAAGCTCTGAAAGATCTAAGGAACTGTAAAGTGTTAAAACATTGAATACAGTAGTTAACATTAAATGAATTAGAGAATGCCGGCTATCCAGCAAGAGGAATCGAGTATTTTGCCAGCTGCATTAAATTCTATAGAAAAATGCAGCAGAATAAAATCACCCTGATTGTGTAGGTGGGTTGGGGGGTCAGAGAGGAGGGTATACTTTATCCTAGAAAAATCCAGAGGAATTGCCAAAGTTTCTTCAAGAACTAAGGAGTGCCTGCCCTGCATTCTGGAGAGCTATCCTTTACAAAGACAAACCCCAAGATCGTAGTTAAACCTAAGTAAAGACTGTAAATACCTGTAGGCTATGGTCTGGTAGACTGGAAGACTATAAATCGATGCTTAGGCTGTGTCACTGAGCTCATTATTTCCAATAGTCCAGGAAGGTAAGAGCTCAATAAATCTTTCTTTCACTCAGTTATATATAATATGACAGAAGAGACCTGAAGAGTTAACTCTGTTGTAAAGAATATACTTCTTGGGGCGCCTGGGTGGCTCAGTGGGTTAAAGCCTCTGCCTTCAGCTCAGGTCATGATCCCGGGGTCCTGGGATCGAGCCCCACATCGGGCTCTCTGCTCAGCGGGTAGCCTGCTTCCTCCTCTCTCTCTGCCTGCCTCTCTGCCTATTTGTGATCTCTGTCTGTTAAATAAATAAATAAAATCTTTAAAAAAAAAAATATACTTCTTTTCTCAACCCACCTGAAATGAGCGAAGACAAAGAGAATTAATATTCAAAGAGAAAGTACTCTAAATCCAAGGTAGTGTTAACACTTTTTTTTTTTTTTAATAGTCTAGATTGTCTTGTGTTTGCTCCGTAAACTTTTACACCTACTCTCTAGACTTGGAGGGAAAGTGAGCAGTACTTAGAGCTGGCTCGGCTCCATGCTAATTCTGACATGAGGAAGCCTCAGAAGTAGCTGTTCCTTGGAATCACCAGAGACAGGGCAAAAAGGGAATTCATCAGGAGACCATTCCAAAATCTAACCTTGGTTTTCAGCATAACAGCAGATTCTTAAGGAACATTGCTAACAGACTCCTCTAGCAAAAAGAATAAAATGAGACATTCTATTAAAAAAAAAAAAAATCAGGCAGGCCTATAAGAGAAAAACTATCATATGTCCTATGTCCTACCTAGTAACAATGAGACATACCAAAAAATTATTTGGTATTTATCTGAAACTCAAACTGGAGCATTTAGTTTCATTTTTTTATTTTGTTTTTACTAAACCTGGCAAAACTATATACTTCCCTTATCACAGGCATAAAATACAGTATTCCTGGTGGTTATGTCTAATTCAAATTTGTTCTACATTTTTTGAATTCCAGGGTAGTAATAATCCAACTGTGCTGAGGGATTGTTGTAGAATTATGTTTTCTTTTTGTGAAATTAATAAAGGATTTAAAATTTTTAAATGAAAAAAACTACTAAAGCAGCATACATGTCTCATCAATGAACTTCCATTATTGCTAAAGTAAGTTGACCTGAGCTCAGTCGAATACCCACTATGACACGTACCTCCCTTTACTCAGGCCCAGAGCAGGCCCTGCTGCACTTGACCAAGACACTAAGCAGCACCCAAAATTTTTTTCTGGCAGAGCATTGCATGTGGTTATGAAATGGGCATACCACCTTTTTGTGTTTCGGGGCATCCGGAATCGTAACCTTAAGAATGAACCATCAGTCTATCTCATATATTACACTAAAATGGCAAAGCAATTTTATTTCTTTAAAAAAGCAGGGCAGAATAGGCTGGAAGATAATACATTCTGGACATTGTGGGAACTT